ACAGACATTTCTCAGATGAAGAAGTACAAACAGCAGTCACCAGGCGTGGTGGCTCACGCCTGTAGTCCCAGCATTCAGGAGGCTGAGGCAGGAGGATTGTTGCGAGTTCAAGACCAGCGTAGGCTACAAAGTGAGCTCAAAGCTACCCTGTACTGCATGGAGAGACCCTGCCTCAAAGACCAAAAAAAAAAAAAATGAGAAGTACAAACAGCAAATTAATATACGAAAAAATCAGACAGCATCACTGGTCATTTGGCAGATGTGAAGAAAACACTGAGACTATCTCCAGAAAGAATGGCTAACAACAAGAAATCAACCAACAACAAATGCTAGTGAGGCTATCGAGAAAAATCCTTCTCCACTGTTGTTGTGAGTGTAAACTGGTACAATCGCTACCGAAACCGATACGGAGTTTCCTCAAAACACTAAAACCAGAGGTTCTATTTGACCCAGCTGTTACTGTGCTAGGTATTTTCCCAAAAGAGTTAAAACATCATACCGCAGTGGTATATGCATATCCATGCTTCTAGCAGCACAACTGGTAATAGCTAAATTTTGGAAACAGCCCAAATGCCCATTAACAAGTGAATGGATAAAGAAAACATGATACTTACATACATGGAGTACTACTCTGCCACAAAGAAAGTGTCTTGATTAGTTTTTTCATTGCTGAGACAAAACCACCCAAAGTTGAAGGAGGAAAGGTTTATTTTGGCTCACAGTTTGTAGTGGTTTCAGTCCATAATCAGCTGGCTCCGGGCAGGGAGGCATGGTAGAGGGGCAAAGCAGGGGAGAAACAGTTTATGGCAGGCAAAAAGTAGCAAACCACTAGCAGCAATAATAGCTTCTTTCTGCCCCTTTTATATTCTGTCTAGGCTACCCAGGTTAGGACGGCCCAAACCTATCAGTGGACTAATTTAGCAATGATGCATTCTTAGTGCCAGCACCCTTAATTCTCACAACTGCACCATGAATCAATCCCAGTGACACACACCCTCAATCCAGTCTCCTCTGAAAAGCCTCACCTATGGCCCATGAGGCTTTTTGGGGAACATCTAGACACAAACTATAAAAGAAAGGTAAACTTGAGTAATTTGTTGGAAAATGATGCACCTTGAGACCATAATTTTAAGTGAAATAAGACACACAGATTCAAATATCACGTTGTTTCTCTTGTGAGAAACCCAAAGGGCAAATGAGGACTGTAATAGGGAATAGATATTGGGAAATAGGAAGACCATGTTCAGGTGGGAAGAGGAACAAGACGGGGAGGGAAAAGGGAAAAAAGAGAACAGAAGGAAAAACAGAAACCTTTTGTAAATTAAAAGGGAAAGAACGGTTGGATAGAAAAGAGAAACAGGAGAAAAAAGAAGTAAAACATTATATACAGGTATCAGTTCCCTATGATGATGTTATCAATATGCAGGACAAATATGTACTAATAAAAATGTAAAGTTAAAAATATAAAAACAGATAAAACACAGGCCCTCAACACAGGAGCACATTATGGTCTGAGGCTGGGTATATTTATGTGGTTTGATGCTGGAAATCTGTGGAGTTTGTGAATCTAAAGGAAGTAAGGCTGTGGCTCAGTTTATAAGTGAAAGCTAGGAGAGCCCATTCATTGTGAGGGAATGGAATGACCCATTCACAGGTGAAAGACTTCATTCACAGGAGAAAAAGCAGAAATTCAATCTATTTTTGTTGTTTTTAGCTTTTGGTTTTTGTCTTTGGTTTACTCCAAGACTTAAGAATTTAGGACTTAGTAGTCTGAAAAGAAAAAATAACAACCGTAATTTTAAATTTAATTCTGTGTCTTAAAACTGTAATTTACTTTAAAGTATGATTTTTAAATTACAATTTTCCTCTTCTTCTTTCTACCTATATTTCTTCTAAAGTTTGGAGAAGGAAGACATTAGTTGTTTACATAATACCTACATTTGGCAATTCATAAAAGTGGAATAATATGAAACAGGAAAACCTTTGGGGTAGGAGGGAAGTTCCTAAGGAGAAGTAATTGTTGCTTCCAGATTGGCAGAGAATAACATTCCAAAATGTTTGTATACAAGCATAGCACAGCCCTGATGGCTGGCTGGAATAAAATTTAAGTTACAATTTCAGCATGCATTTAGAAAGGTGACATGGTCTTTTTGTTGGTTTTTATAGCCCTTATAATTAAATTTAGGACATCTCAGAATTTTTCAGTTGCCAAAACACAGAAAAGATTTAAATAAATGGCAAGATACTTCCAAGTGTGTAGATCAGAAGCTTTAATATTGTTGCTTACAACACCAATACTGTGTAGACTGCGCCATTCTCTCACAGAGTCAAAGAATGAAATTGCAGACAAAAGGAGACAGTTCAGGACAGTGCTTTTTTTGGAAGTATGAGAAGAAAGAAATCTCCCAGTAATTGGGCAAGGTCCCAAAAGTGGGGATGTCATGGGAGCTTTGTCCAGAGTTTTTTATGGATAAGTAGAGTGCCCAGGGCCCAGCGGTCTCCCTGTACAGGTGGCCTCACAGGCCCCAAACAGCTAATTGAGACTTAGGTCTTCTAATACAGAATTCTAAAAGAAAACCAGTTGAGACTCAGGCTTTCTAATGCAGAGTTAAAATAAGAACCAGTTACTAGTTACTTGGATTCTTGGAGTCCTAGAAATTAACGCCCAGCCCAGATATGGGGAAGGATTGCTAAATAATTTGGTGCATTCTGTCCCACCTAACTACTTGCCTTTATCTTAACTTTCAGCATTTTTCCTGTATTTGGTTTTACATCTCTGAGCTTAACTTACCTGTATGTGCTGTTGTCTTTGTAAAGCTGCCTCCTTCTCAGACTCTGTCCCTTGCCAGCTGCCTGTTTATAAATTAAATAGCTAAGCTGTGCCTTATATTATCCAAATTGGCATTATGATGCAATCCCTATCAACATCTCAACTATCTTTTGTACAGAAATTTATAGATGAACAGTAGGGGAAGAAAAGCTAAGAAAAACTTATTAAGTCACAGTCTACATGTTACAAAGGGTTTTTTGCCCAAACCAACTATCATTATCCTCTCAGAATCAGGGAAGCAATAATGAGACCAATCACTGGTTGAGCAGTAAAGGAAGGTTTATTCTAGGTCGCATTGCAGGCAGTTCAGTGGGTAACAAATGGACACAGCTCCTAGAAAATCTCAGAGTTGATAATTACTTCCTCTCTCCCACACCAGCATGGCTCCAGGATAATAGTTTATAGCTGAAATAGCCGAAAGAAAGACAAAGTCATCTGATAAGTGGTTCTTAGAGAACCTCAAAGACAGCAAGAGAGAAAAAGACAAAGATCCAGAGGAATTCCAAGCCTCTGGCACCAGTTAAACATGGTCCAGTTTTTTGTCAGATTAACAAAAAGCCTACTAACCTCAGCTCCAGTGTCCAACAAATAGATTATTAACAACAAAATACAATAGATATTTGCTTTTAGTCCCCAAAATAGAGACTGAAAGCAAACATTTATTTGTGTCAAATTAAAACCACATAGGTTGGGAGGCTGTGGCAGGAGGATTGCAACGAGTTTGAGGCCAGCCTGGCCAGATAACAATTCAAGCCAACATGGATTACAGAGCAAGATTCTGCTGTACCATCTGCAGTAGCAATCAGCACTGGTCACATGGGAGTAAACCAGCACCTGGCAGAGTAACAGAAAGGGAAGCCAAAGACTACGTAGATACACTTTGTACTTTCATAGTTTGTAGTTCTTCTTGTCCTTAGGGAAAAAGGGAAAAAAGAAAAGAGAATAAGCTCAACACCAATGTCAGCTTCCCCCGGACATCATAGAGAGAAGAGATAAAAAGCAAGTTTAATGATTGCATTGTTTTAATGACAAATAGAAGGACATATAACTAGGAAGGTAAACAAGCAAAACAGAGTATATGGGGCAATACACAGAAAATAATTTGGGACTGAATGTCAAGGGGAAGACATAAAAGAGTAGCACTGATTGGAGAAACTTTCAGTGCCTCTACAGCCCAGTCTGATCACAGACACATCTGCAGCTGAACCCTTGACCTGGGAGGCAGACACACATGCACCAGTGCAAGCTGATCCTTGGATCACACCAAATTGCACTTTCCTATAACTGTTAACCTTTACTGACCTTCTGTACAACGGACTTCTTCCCCCAGACTACCCATCTTTACAAAATGGCTTGATTTTTGCCAACATCAGTTGTTAAATCCAAATAATTTCAGCTCCTTGAGGTTTAAAGCCTTAAGTGCAGTCACTATTCTGTAAAACCAAGGAGCGCTGACTCTGTGCCACTAGGCTGTATGCCTCCCAGGTGGCCTGCTCACTCTGGCCTAAGTAAACCCTTTTTCTTATGTACAGCATGCCTCAACTTGCCTTTTGGCTAAACATGGTGTCCAAACAGGAAAAGAGATGAACATACACAAGGACACTTAAGTCTCCAGAGGCCAGGATGAGACAAGCAAATTTGAAAGTATTTTCAGCTCTCCCCCAAAACAGTCAGAATAACAGCTGGCTATTTGCTTGACCCTGCCACAGGAACAGACACTCAGTATATCCTTCCCTGCCTGGTCAATGAAACAGGGCAAAACTGCATTTCCCAGTTCAGAAGGTGTCGCTGACATGTCCCTGGAGATCAACACCAAGGGGGATTTTGATAGCAGATGGGTCAGCCTCTTCACTGGGGAGCCCATTTCACCAGGTCTTGCCAAAAATAAATGCTTTTAACATTGAACCAAGTGATACACTAAACAGTGCAGATAGCAACAACTTCCCCTCGTTGTTACAAACATTGATTTGAAAAATGGAGTTTTGAAGTCGAGAGTGGTGACACACCTGCAGCCCCAGCACTCAGGAGTCTGCGTTCAGCACTATGTGGAATACAAAGTGAGACCCTGTAAGAAAAAGAAGAAAGAGGAAGAGAAGGAGGAGAGAGAGGAAGAAGGCAAGAGGGAAAAGAAGAAAAAACAACAAAAGCAAAAATGAGGCTTCAAACAATCTTAAATTTCTGAAGATTTTAATGAAATCAAAAAGAAAGCATTTAAAAAATTGTCCAAAAAGTTACAAGATTTGGCCCATTAGTTTGCATACTTGGCAGTGAAATTATAAATTTTTGCAAGTTTTAATCAATTTGTGAGCTTCTTGCCAAGGAAAATTCAAAGATTATGCCTGCTAAAGGTCTTGACAATGCTCCTCAGCAAGGAGTGTGAGCCGCTGATCTGCAGCACGGAGTCGTCTGTGTGCCGGTTTCTGGTTACTTTAAAACATGCAGAAACACTCAGTGAAGTTTTCTGCTTCATCAGCATGAAAGAAGATAGCCTGCATAGACATAATTGGAAAAGGAAACAACAAAAGTATCCTGTGTTATCTTGGGACAGAAAGAAACACGTCACTCTTAATTTTTATTCAATACAGATCATATCTACTTAATTAGCCCCACTGTATTTATATTCAACTCCTAAAAGGTTATATAGTGTATATTATATTTCTGCAGAATATATAATACTGTGACCTATAAAACTGATGTGTCTTATAAAGTGTTAAAGCCTGCAGGAGAGAAAAAAACAAAAATGTATTTTCACATGTAAACTATTTGCTCAGTTTGTTCTATTAACTTTAATTCCAACTGTTAACTAGCCTAGTATTGTCCTGTTAAATAATAGCATGTATACAAGTACAGTGGTAAAAGAAATAATGCAAAATAACATGTGATTTAAAGTGCCTAGTTTTATAGTAAAACAATAACATGTGTGTGTAATTAACACATCTTATACTGGGGGGTCTGGTATATTCGTGTCCTAGATGGACTTTCCAAAAAATACTAATACATATATCATATATTTAATTAGTTAGTTAGTTAGTTAGTTCTGAACTGTCATACTTAGCAGGAGTTTTCCTACTATTTTCTCTTAAAAATTTAATTAAAAGGCTCCCAGGAGAAATATACACTCATATATTTTGTGTGTTTAAATCTGACAATAGTAGGTTAACTAGAGATATGCTCATTTAAAGCTGGCTACTAATATATGCATGAAGAACTTGTCAAAAAGGAAAAATTAACTTTTATTTACTTTACAACCTAACCTCAGATATTCTATGTTGTATTCTCTTTTGTAGCAAAAATATCTGAAAGAGCCCCTTATCTTCTAAAAAGATACCTAAGGTAGGGAAACTACTCTTGATTTTTCACTTCACTACCACGTTCTTTTTCTTCTGTCTTATAAGATTTTGCTTTTGAATTGAAGCCACAGGTAACACGACTCTTTCCTAACTATTGCTAATTGGGTACTGTATAGGACTCTGCGCAGTTACAGAGCACTCGGCCACAGACAAGGCTCACCTGCCTCACAGGGCAGCCGCCAGCAATAGGACAAGACAAGGCAAGGGTAGGCTGATGGAGCTGGCATACTCAATGTCTAGTTTTCAAGGCGGATTATTTTCTGGTTAGGTCTTCTTTTCAAGGAAAAGGGACGGTAGGAGGAATATAAAGAGATGCCCCATTACATCAGGATACACATAGATGCGTTCTGAAGGGTTGTGAGAAGATTCAGATACCCCCAAACTAACCCCATTAGATGCCTGTATTTATTTTGATGCATTTATCCTTGCCTTATCTGAGTTTATTTTTACAAATGGATTCCTGACATGGTAGTTGGCACGTAGAGTGGCAGGATGCCCATCAAATGCTGTATTGTCTGCAGTGGCAATCAGCACTGGTCACATCGGGGTAAAACGAGCACCGGCAACTGGCAGAGTAACAGAAAGGAAAGTCAGAGACCACATAGATGCACTTTGTACTTTTACAGTGTGTAGCTTTTCCTGTCCTTTGAAAATAATTTGAATAACTATCTGGACAGGGAGATAACTACAGACAAGCACTGGAGCAGTTTGAATTTATGCAACAAGAAACCACGGTGTCCTTTCTCCCTTCTTTGGCCTCTTTCCTGAGAACTTGGTTTCTGCTGAGTAACATGGGCTCCAATGAAAGATGTCTTGCTCACAAGCCTAGGAAGCGGTGGAAGACCAAAGTGTGAGGCCTCTGAGCAGACCCTTTCTTGGTTCTTGAACTAACCATTTTAAAATAAGATTTGAATTCTTGAAAATATCATATCCAATGGGAAGAAATAAAATTATGTATCAAGATAAGAAAAGTAATCCAGGTGTGGTGGTGCACACCTGTAATCCAAGCACTTAAAGGGCGAGGCAAGAGGATTGCCACAGGTTTGAGGCCAGCCTGGGCTCCATAGTGAGTTCAAGTCCAGGTTGTACTGCACAGTGAGACCCTGACTCAAAAGAGAAAGAAAGACAGAGACAGAGGGAGACAGAGAGAGAGACAGAGAAGAGGAGGGAGGGAGAGAGAGAGAGAGAGAGAGAGAGAGAGAGAGAGAGAGAGAGAATGAGAGGGAGAGAGAAAGGAAAAAAAGAGTCAGAGAAAAATCCTGGAGTTACAGGATGTGACTTCTTGACTTACTGCTGTCTAATTAGCATTGAGATCTTCAGCACATAGCTTAACCACCCTGATTTGTCTTCTGTAGAATGGGAATAACACTGCCCATCCTGTCCGTATTTCAGAGATTGGTGAGAGCCCCAAGTAAGATGACATACTATATATTGCGTGCTCTGAGTTGTGGCATAGAATTAGAACACAGCATTACACTGGTCTTGTGTGGATAATTCACTATTGACATTGAGATCGGAGTACCTAATTTCTTTCAGCTCCCAAAGTATGACTCAGAGTCTTGGCAAAGACCAACACAGATATTTTTTAGATATCTGTGAGAGGCCAATCCAGAAATCAGTTCAGCCCAAGGAAAACGATTTGTATGGAAGCTGTTTCCAAGTGACATCCTTGAAGTGTCCCATGACCAGACAAACCTCACGCTGGATTGCGAAGACAAAGATTTCAACAGGTTTTTAAAACATTATTGTTTAATATTCTAATAAATTCAAAGATGGTTTATACTGTAACATCATTAATGAATCTTATATAGCCTGGATCATGGGAACTGTTTTTACAAACAGAAGGGATTGATACCCATTTTAGTTGTGTCTGGAAAAAATATACACATTCTTTGATCTTTATGGGTTAAATACAGAAGAAAATAACTTCAATTCATTAAAGCCTCAAAAAAATTTTAATTGCCTTATTTGCAGGAAAGTGCAGTTACTGACAGCATTTACCCTCACAACTATCCAAGAAAAAGCTTTTTAAATGCTACCACAACATTCTGGTAGCTTCTGCTTCCCTGACATAGCATTTCCCATGCAAACCCACCTTTGAATGACTTTTTAGACAAGTGTCCTTAAAGTAGTTGAAGACCATTGCAGTTCATGATGTCCGTCTTGAGACATCTCTGTACTGAAGTGTCTACGGAAGGCCAGAGCAGAGCAGACTGGCCGAGCCTAACTCCATCGCAGTCATTCAAATCAGTCGAAGCTACAGACAGTAAAGCTAATGTTAAATTTGCCTTCATCCATTCACCTGAATGGATCTAAGAAGCATTAGGCTGGATGAAAAGCCAAACACAGGACAGTAAAAGCTGTATAATCCCATTTATACAGGTTCAAATAAATGTACCAAGAAAAAAATCAGATAAAGGTTTTCTGGAGCAAAGAATGAACAGAAAAATGGACATAAAGGTACACAAAGCATCTCTAGGGCTGGGGATTTAGCTCAGGGGCATAAGCACCTGCTTTGCAAGTGTGAGGTCATGAGTTGGATCCCAGGCACTAAAAAAAAAAAAAAAAAAAAAGCCTCTCTTGGTGGTAATCCTTTCAAAACCCTAATGGCTTCACAGGTGTTTGCCGTTGATGAACCTCCATAGTTTTGGGTCAGAGCAATGATCTTAACTGAATTATTATCTGTTAAAATGGGGAAGACTCAGGATGAGACCCAAATCATTCTGGACATGTTTCATTTGAAATGTCTCTCAGTCTACATCCGTACCACCCTGAACGTGCCCAATCTTGTTTGATCTCAAAATGTCTCCTAGTTCCTGAATAGGCAGTAGGTACAAGGCTGAAGTTCAGCAAAGAAAGCTAGACTTGGGATACAGTTGGGAATTTTTAGCATATAGATAACATTTTAAACCATGAGGCCAGATGAAATTCATGGGGCCAGGGATACGGCTCAGCAGTACAGCATCTTTCTGGCAAGCACAAGGTTCTGAGTTCAATACCAGGCACAAAGAGAGAGAGAGAGAGAGAGAGAGAGAGAGAGAGAGAGAGAGAGAGAGAGAAAGGAAAGAAAGAGAGAGAGAGAGAGAGAGAAAATAAAGAAAGAAAGAAAGAAAGAAAGAAAGAAAATAAGAAAAGAAACAAATTCATAAGTGAGTAGGTATAGATACAGGAAAGGGCTAAGGACCAAGTCCTTGGGAACTCTGTACAGTGATGGGTCAGGAGAAAAATACAAACCACCAAAAAAGACTTCAGTGTAGGAAGTGGAACAGGAGTGTGGTAGAACACTCAGATTACGTGTTGTTCTGGAAACTAGGTAAAAACATGTCTCAGACAGCAGGAACCAGCTCCTGAGTCTGTGCTTCTGGTTGGTCAGTTGAGGCTCTCTGACTATTGAACTTACATCAACGATCTTGAGGATCTTGATCCAGAGAAACTTTAGTGGAATAAATGAGGTCCTGGTGTAATTGAAGTGTATTATAGGAGAAGAGGAAAGGAACCAGCAACAAGTCATACGCATAGAATTTTGCTTCAAAAAAGAGAAAGTCGTTTGTTTGTTTCAGAAAGTGCTTTTGTTCTCCACTGCCACTACTAAGAATGTCTAGTTTTAAAATTGTTTTTCAACCTTACCAATCTTTTCTGAGTTTAGATTTCATCTTTTCTTGCTAATTTACTTTGTAGACAAATGTCCTGCTGGATCTTGGTAGTATACTGATAAAAATTCCACAATTTCCTTTTGAACTAATGCAAATCAGTTTCAGAGGAAGCAAAACTAATTTCTTTGTTATTACACACACACTTTTTATAATCTATGCATCTAAGATGTACGTTTTCTTTAAAATATCTTATCTTCATTATCAGTCTGTTTCTTAGAAAAGGAAATGTGCCCTTTTTCGATATTGAACTTCTCAAGTAAGAAATCATCATATGGATTCTTTCAGAGGTTAATGAAGGGCCCAGTTAGGCTTTAGTTCAGGAAGAGCTTGTATTTATTTATAGGTAAAGTTCAAAAACAGAATTTCTGCTGCCAGAGAAGAAAGGAGAAGTAATTCTGGCAGATTGCCCTACACCTAAGTCACTTCTCCTCTGAACTATGGAGTTGTTGTGTTCCGTCCACTTTTACACTCAGCCCAGCCACCAGCACCCGGAAGGAAGTCACAGCATTCCAGGAATCATTTCTGTTGGGGGAGATGTGCCTTAACAACTTGGTTTTGCTGTTTTTATTAGCTACATACAAACATTTCTTTTAGTACCATCAACATATCCTAAATATTGATCAATTCTAGCCGCACAAAGAGAACAGATTATTGAAGCCAAATGATAGATTTAAGAGATTTTTATACTATTCTCTTTGTTGAGTCATTGAAATTTTTAAAAAGTAAGTTCACAGGTACATGCACACGTGCATGCGCGCGCGCACACACACACGCACACGTGCACACACACGCGCACGCACACACACACACACACAATGTTCTGTTCTTGCCCCAAGCCCTCACCTCTATGAGTTAGGGTGTGTTTGTTTCTGGGTCTCTTCATTTTCTAAGCAGGCTGCTTTTTCACAGGAAAGATTTTTTAATCACTCACAGTTTTTTTTATCTGATCCATGTGCACTGTGTTTAACACAAATGCCTGTAAGCTTCTAACATATGGAAATCCATAATCCGCTGTTATCTCATGTAGACCGTCTCCTCTTTTCTTATTCTATCTCAATGGGAGACTAAGGGTGGCACAACCTGTAATTGTCTCATATCTCACTGGAAATTGAAATCTGAACAAGTGTGGGTAAACAGAGCAAGGCTGATAGGAAAATTACATTGATGCAATTCCAAATTTAAAGAGTATAACTTACATTCCAGCTCTCATAACCTCATCAAAATCGCTAGCACATTTTATGCATTTATTGTGGTTTAATTTTCTTTACTCCATTTATGTTCTTATTGTTTTTTGTGTGGGTTTTTTCTTTCCTGTTCTTTTACTGAGCCTAGAATAAACGACTCTCATTCTGGATGATGTGAGTAAACTCCTCTGCTACCATCCCAGAGCACAAAGCCCTGAGCTCCCAGGAGGTAACTTCACTTCTGACTTCACACAGATACATGTACGCACATACACAAACCGGAGACCATCGGTCAGAAACTTCCTCAACCTTTTGCTTTCTTCTCTGCCATGGATGAACATAAACCAACTGTCCTTGTGTCAGCTAAATAAATATCCCTTTGTTTAGGGCCAAGTCTTCCAGTAGTTCTGTGGATCCTGGTGTTATGGATTAAGAACTGGTGGTCAACTTAACGCCAGCTGGATTACATCAGCATGGCATTGAGTGAAGATGCTCCACCTGAGGAAAGTTTCCAGGATAAATAGGTGGAGAAGGAGGTGTGGAGGGTTGAGGCATTAAGGAGGCACTGTGGGTTCTCCTACGAGTTGCTGTGTGAGCTGTTGGTTCTCCTGGAGAAGCTTTGGTCCTCATATATTCCTTCCTGGCTCCGGAGGGGAAGACATGTGCTGCTTGGTCTCCAGGATGAACTCTCACGCTGCTTCCTGGCACGTACCTGACTGTGCTTGTCGTCGGAGGAGCTCGGGGCCTCTGTGTCGCTGAGGACAGCTGTGGTGCCTTTAGGATAGCCCTGGTCTTTGTTGTGAGTGTGACTTCTCGGCTCCAGCATAGAACCCTCATCCCACTAGCACAGCTCCTTCATCCTGCTGGCATAGACTTTCTGGCTTCCACCGCTGACCCTTGGGTCTTCCCAGCACGGATCTGTAAAAAAGACTGGTGTGAGTCCTTCTTGTGGGCTCTGGACCTCCAGTTGGACTCGTGGAGGCATTGTCCTGAGCTCTGGGTTTTTATCTGGACTCATGTGGGACATTGCTATGAGATTTAGGCTCTTGACTAAATAATCTATGTCTTTGGTGTTGCGGATAGATTTCCTGTGTTTTCCTGTGTTAACTCCTGGTGACCATTATAAAAATAATATTATAAACTCCACATCTTGATCCTAATTGTTCTCTGTGTACAACCCCTGACTACAACACCGTGTCTACCAGTGTCCTTTGTGATATAATCCTAATTTCAATTCTCATCTTCCCTAAAGTAGTCAGGAATCAGCAATTTCTCTCTCTCCCTCTGCCTTTCTCTGTGTCTCTCTGTCTCCATCTTTGTTTCCCTCTCATTCTCATCTACTGAGCTATCCAACAGACACAGTCATGACACCACTCTCCTCGATCTATTCCTGTTTCTCTGCTGTTCATGAAACAGATGATGAACTGTGATGAGACTTGTGAAAATGGATCCACAAAGGACATCATTTCTATTTAAATTTCAAGTGTCTGTCCTTTCTCTCCTCTTGCCACATACTTTATTTTTGAGCATTCCCATTTGTATATGTAGCTTCAGTCAATACCTGACCATCATATTGTTAAATCTCTCCAGTCTAGGTCTCTCCTGAATTCCACACTTACCTGCGACTGAACCGCTCCATTTCTTTCCCATAGCATATCTATTCATCTTGCCCATGTCGCTTTATTCCCTGCATTCCACGTCTCAGTCAGTGCACTGCCACCATCCAGGTATCTAAGGAGCAACCCACGCCTTATCCTAACTGTCTCCCTCCCTGTTCTTGGGACCCAGCAACGTGAAGCTCTGTCTGCTCTGGACTCACTGATAGCAGTCACCTCACTTACCAGTGTCCCATCTGCATCTCACCACTTCATTCCCTGGAGTGTTTCACAGAAAATTCCACAAATCATTGTTTTGCTTGTAAATAGCTCAATGTGCATCTCTAACTAGATAAGCAGTTTTTTTTAACACAAAGTACAGTGTTCTCTTGATTATACTCCAAGTATAATCTACTTTTGCTTATGCTGTCTACATAGCAATTTAGGCATTATTATCAATCATTTTGCCACTTTTTCTAAAGTACCTGATCACTTTCCTTCCTTTAGGAATTTACTTGGGATTTTCTTAACCTTTCTTCCAAAGTCTGTTATTTTTTAAAATTGTAGCAAATTATCCATAGCATAAAATTAACCATCTTCACTATTTAAGTGGACAGTTCAATAGTGTTAAGTACATTCATTCTGTTACACAATCTCCAGAACTTTTTCCTCCTGTAAAACTGAAACTCAAACAACTCCTCATTCCTCTTACCCTCAGCCCATTACAGTTTGTTTCAGAGAATTTGACGCAGGTGGTGTGAAATATTTGGAAGGCAAATATAGTTTCTGCTTTTCTGCTACTGGTTTATTTCACTTAACATAATGGCCCACGAGTTGCCGTGTTCTAGCCCGTGTCAGTATTCCCCTCCTTCCTAAGGCCGAGCAGATTCCCTGGCAGGCATATTCTACATTTTGTCTACTCATTTTCTGTCAATGGACATGGGCTGAGTCTACCTTTTGCGAGTAGTGTTGCTGTGAACGTGAGGTAAAATATCTCTTTTGGACCTTGGTTTTTGTTCTTGGGGACATACACCTGAAGTGGAATTGCTGGAATCCTCTTGGAAACACACGCTCATTTTACTTTCAATGTTTCGAGAAACTGCTGTTCTCCACAGTGGCTGCACCATTTTACCTTCTCATCAGCAGTGCACAAGGGTTCCAGATCCTCTTAGTACCAGTCTTTGTTATTTGCTTATGGTTTGGGCTGGAGTGTTTTGCTTTGCTTTGCTTTGCTTTGCTTCACTTGGTTTTGGTTTTGGCTTTGGTTTTGTTTTGGTTTTGGTTTTGGTTTGCTTGAGAGCAGCCACTTTCACAGGTACACGGTGCAATTAACACTTTTTAAACAAATGTTAAGGCTCTAGTGTCACCACTGACAAACAGCTCTTCATATTATCTAATGAAAGGGAGTTCTGACATGTTCTTCCTACAGTCTTCTCCTAAATGCTTCCATTTCCTCAGACCAAAAGCTCTAAAAACAGATTCCACTCTTACCTGACATCCGATTTTTTACAAAATCTCAAAATATATCCAGGACTCTTGCCCACCACTTCTCACTCTCCCAGCCACTTTCACGACCCTGTCTGAGCCACCATCCTTTCTCCCAAGTTGCTTCAGTAGCCTTCTAAGAAGTCTCCCCACTCATCTACTTTGGCCCCCTTTATTCTGTTCTCAACTCTGCTTCAGAATCATCTTATTAGAAACAGACCTCAGATCTACCACCCTGCTCGAAGCCTTCTAGTGGTCCCCCATTTACACTCAGCAGAAACCAGGGGCCTTATGATGGCCTTCCTGGCCCTATGAGACCTGAATCCAAGTTGCCTACTTCCTCTTATAACTTTCTCACTTTCTTCTGAGGGTATTCCGCTTCTACCCCTGGAACCACCTTGCTGTCCTCACCACCACGGTCCTCCTCACTGAGGGCCTCTACTTCTGCTCCCATATGGAGTGACTTTATCCTTAACTCCGATGACAAGTCGACTTCACTGGGAGGCTTTCTCTTAATATCATTATTAATTACTAGTGGTACTTGGGAATGAACCTGGCAGGCACTGGGCTACCTCCCAACCCCTTTTTAAAACGTTTTATTTTAAGAGGGTTTTGCTGAGTTGCTTAGATTGGACAAGGAACTGCAGTTCTCTTTCCTACGACCCCTGGAATAGCTTGACTACAGATGTGTGCCACCACATCTGGCAACACCTTTTTAAAAATGGAAAGCAGCCATTCCTCCAAGAATTTTCTATTCTCCCCCCAGGTTTATTTTATCCTATAAATATTATTATTGGCTTTTATACAGTATATTTTACTTTTTGTTTATCTTTTCCCAGTCCCATTAAAGTATAAACTTCAAACTTTACAAAGACTATTAGATAAAAATTTTGTATATAATTTAGCTTTATAAATAATTGCTGAATGAATACAGTTCATATGCTTATACATATTTTTGTGGCTGCTCCCCAGATCTGCATGACAATTTAAAAAGCAAAGTGAAAGACTGCACATCTTTCCAGAGCAAGAAAACTGGCATAAATTGGACAGATGATGAAAAAAGAGTCTACAGGAATAAAAGAACAGTTCCATCTCAAGAACTGTTGCGGTGTTTTCTCCCTATTGTGAACAGCTCTAAAAATATCAAAACTGGTCAGATAAAACAGCCAATTTCACAACAGTAAGTCAATATAATTCTATCATTTCTAAATATTTACTTTTTTATTTGCAGTGCTGAACATCAAACCCCAGGACCTTATGCATGCTAGGCAAGTACTTCACTCCATTTCTACTGTTTAATTCATTCTCTTTATAAAGAAGTGATAGTTATTAACCCATTATTATAAGACACAATCCTGGATAAACAAGTCAGCTTTTGAAAATGCTGTTATCTATACCACATTGGACAAAGGGACAAAAGCCCAAAGTCATAAGAAAACAATAGACATGTAAAGGACTAAGATAGGCCTTGAGTGGTTGTGTCTATGAAACTACTCATTCATTTGGATCTATGAGTAGAGCATGCATAAATAGTATACTCTTAGCCTGACATGAAATTTTTCGGGTACTTTTAAACCTTACAATCCTATGAGCAACTAGAACTAAAAATAATTAACTTGAGTTACTTCAACTTATTGATACTCAGAGCAAAGCAAAAGAAGCCAGTATTTCTTTTAAAGATTAAATAAGACCAAGAAAAGATTCATGTAAACAAAGGCAGTAACAAGCTGCCTTTGACCAAGTATAATATTAACATGATCAACAAACTTTATAAAGTACTTTCTGTATACTAGAAGTCTAAGATCTATATATCTACATTTTATCTATATCTATATCTAGTTGGCATTCCATACATCTAGTTGCCATATCCACAGATTCAGCTAATTTCAGATCTAAATGTATTTTTAATTCATAATTAGGTGAATCCATAGATGTAAGCCTATGGATACAGAAGGCCAATTGCACATCTTACACATGAGAATACTGAGGAATAAAGAGATGGAGTGCTTTGACCAAAGCTGCACACTCCAACAAGTCACAGAATCAAGATTCAAGCCTGCCAGTGTTCTGGCTCCACAGTCCTTCTGAACTTCAGCATTGTGCTTTGTCTTTTTTCTTTATACTACAACCAAAAAGCAGAACCAGTGTATTTAAAATACAAAGAATGCCTGCAAAACTACTAAAAAATTAGGAATATTTTAAGAGAAAAATGGACATAGCTATGAATGAACAGCTAAAAGAAAAAGTGTGGTAGAAAATAGAAATATATGATCTTGGTAAAATCTAAAGAATGTAGACTAACACAATGATGAAATTCCATTCTTGCTTCTTCAGGGAAGAATCTATCCACTGATTGTGGGAACCTAAAGTGGTACAGAGTTTCTAGAGAACAACCCAATGATATAAATGAAAAATCCTTACTTTCATACATTCAAATAGTGTGTGTGCGTGCATGTGTGTGTGTGTGTGTGTGGTGCTGGGGATTGAACTCAGGGCCTCATGCATGCTAACCACTAGCTTTACTATTGAAGTACACCCTCAGTTCAGATACATTCATTTTGAATACAAAATTCCACTTTCAGAAAATGGTCCTTAGGAGAAAAACATAAATAAGGGCTAAAAGGCTTATGTAAAGTGATGCCCATTACAGTATTGTTTAGAGGAGTCAAGAAAAGAAAAATGCAAGAACCTAAGTGCTCAGCAACAGAAGATTGCTTAAATAAATTGTGGTACATCTATAAAATGAAATATTATGTAGTACTCAATATTATAAATGAAGATTAACATGAAATGTTATTCACAATATGTAAGTGAATAAAGCAGGCTAATCAATAGTTTGATATTGTAATATATTTATATGTATTGTCACATTATTGCATATACTCAAACACATTTATAAGTAGGAAAACTAGAAGCACATGTTTCCAAAGTGATTATGTGTATAAAGCATTGGCATGGATGATATTCTTCTTTGCACTATTTTTCCTAAATGTTTAATTAATGTTTCTTCATTGTATAATCATTGTACAAAACTTGGTGACTGTTTCTCTTGAAGTAGAATAACAATCATGCTGGAGAAGGTGGTGCGTGACAGTAAATTGGTTATTATAGGGCAGGCAAATCATAGTACAAGGTCCAGGTAGGTCAGGGATCAAATACAATAATACCAGCAAATCACAAGTCAGGAACCTAATAACAAATACAGTAGACAGAGGCAGAGGCTGAGAAGCTGAGAATCTGGACCTAGGAAAGGGACTGGGTGACAATTAATGTTTAGTCATTACTTTCCTAAGAGATCCCTTACTTATTCTGAACTCAGGAAAACACTCAGTGTGGACCGTCCTGACCCTGAGGTGTAGCAAATACTAGGTTGTATTAAAGTCTCTTTCTTTACAGATATCAAAAACTTCTTCCAACTAGCTCAGTTAAAACACAGAAAGCAAGGAGTCAAGAATTATAAGAAAGCATGAGGCTATTCATGGAAACTGGAGGAGAGGGCATTCAATCAGCCTTCAGAAAAAGACCAGAACTAGGGAGTAGGAAACTATCAGAGCTATTTACCCACCTCCAGTCCAGTTTTTTCTTTCTTCAGAGAGAAGCTCACAAGTTTCCATCCCATACCACTCTGATTACTCATTCTTTCTCAATCCCAACTCTGAATTGTAGAGAAAGATAAGCTGAGAGGTGATCATGCTGGTGAGTAGAGGTACCACAGTTACCTACATGTAGTTACTTATGGGGCTGTTGAAATCCCAACCTTGTGGACCTAAAGACTCAGAGATGGGCAAATGGTGCCCAGAGAGGACAACCCAAGGGCATCTCCCTTACGTGTGTAGGGCCAGAGTGTATAAAAAATGCAACTTGTGTGCTTGTCCAAGAGTAATGCACCACTACACCCATTACCTTCTCTTCAGCATTCATAGAGCCTGAGTGGAAACACTGAATTTCTACTTCCATCTGGTTTTACTTCCCTAGTTCCTTATCGGAGCAGAATCACAAAAAACAACTAAAACAGGTTTGTTATGGATTGGAAACTGGTGGTCAACTTAATGCCAGCAGAATTAAATCACCATGCTGCTAAGCGTAGATGTTTTACCTGAGGAAAGTTGCCAGCATAGACACGTGGAGAAAGGAGAAGAGAGGTGTGTTGAGGCATTGTGGGTTCTCCTATGTGTTGCTGTTGTGAGCCGTTGGTTCTCCTGGAGAAGTTGTGATCCTCACATCAAGCATTGCTTCCTGGCACTGGAGGGGAAGATGTGTGCTGCTTGGTCTCCAGGATGAACTCATTAAGCTGGCTTCCTGGCATGTACTCTACTGTGCTTGTCGTTGGAGGAGCTCGGGGCCTCTGTGTTGCTGAGGATGGCTGTGGTGCTTTTTAGGACAGCCCTAGTCTTTGTTGTGAATGTGACTTCTTGGCTCCAGTGTAGAAACTTCAAACTACCAGCACAGCTCCTTCACCCTGCTGGCATAGATCTTATGGCTTTTACCAATGACCTTGGGCCTTCCCAGCACGTACCCATAAAAGAGACTGGCATGACTCCTTCTTGTGGGCCTAGACCTCCAGTTGGACTCATGAGAGGCATTGTCATGAGCTCTGGGTTTTCATCTGGACTTATGTGGAACATTTGCTGTGGGATTTAGGCTCTTGACTAAATATTCTATGTCTTTGATGTTGCACATAGATTTCCTGCACTTTCTTGTGTTAACTCTAGGTGACCATCATAAGATAATATTGTAAACTCCATGTTGTGATTCTAATTGTTCTCTGCACAACCCCGACTACAAATCTAGAGCCTCATAATATAAAAATGCCCATTTTAGTCAGAAGTAAATCATCTTACTAAGGGCCAAGAAGAGCTCAAAATAACACTAAAAAGATAATTAGTAGTTTCAAATGTTGAGGTGATAGTGACATTAGAATTTTCTAACAAAAAATTTTAAAGCATAGTAAAAATGCTTCAACAAAAACACTTAAAACAAATGAAAAAAAAACTTTTTTCAGAGAAATGTTAAAATGAACCAAATGGGAAAAAAATTAAGACACGGTCTCACTGTTTAGTGCAGGCTGGCCTTGAACACTAAGTGCTCCTCCAGTGTCAGCCTCTCTAGTGCTGGGATTACAGACATGCACCACTACACCCAGTACCAATTTTAAAAATTTTAGACTGAAAAACAGTAAAAAGTTTTAAAAATATCAGTGTTTAAGCACAATGGCATAACTGGTAGAATAGCAGGAATAGCCAGTGAACTGAAAGAAAATTTTTTAAACAATAGAAATTACCCAACCTAAAGATTAGAAAGAATATATACTAAAAATAAAATGAACAGGGTCTTAGACACCTATGGGCCTACAAAATAAGATATTTTATTCATGTTATCAAAGCTTCAGAAAAAGAGGTGAACTACAGGACTCAGAATGAACACAAATAAATGATGGCTGAAAATTTACAAATTTGGCAAGAGGCATAAGCCTACAATCAAAAAACTGAGCAAACCACTAATAGGATACACTTAAAGAAATCCATGCTGAGACACACTCAAATTTAATTTCTGAAAATTTTGGGGGTATTCCAGGACTGAGACTCAGCACCTCATGTTTGCCAGGCAGGCACTGCACTGCTGACCTATATCTCTGACCCTAAAAACATTAAAAAAAAAAACTTGAAAAGACTCAAAGAACAACAACATTTTTGCTGAAAAACAACTGAATGACAGTTTATCATCAGAACCCTTGGCAACCAGAAGAAGTGGCACAGTACTGTCAATTACTGAAAGAAAAGAACCGTCAAATTAAACTTCTATACCCAGTGAAAACAGAAAGAAATCAAGAAATGTTTAGATGAAGTAAAACTAAAGTCTACTCTATAAGAATGATCAAGGAATTTTTCTAAACAAATAGGAATGATAAAAGAAGGATCATAAGACAAGATATAGCAAGCAAAACACAGTTAAATATAGTTGATTTTCTGAATTATTCTTGACTGTGAGAGGACAAATTATAACTCTGCTAGAATTCTAAATGTCTGTGAAGGAAACATTCAAGGCAATTGTAAGTGTGAGAATGTAAAGAGAAGTGAGGCTTCTGTAAGGTGATATTGTAACAGAAATCCCCCCCTCCACAGCCAGTATACTTCCGTTTCTTAGTTACTCACAATTTCTGTTGCCATTCTAGTTGCTTCTGTCTCTGACTAATGCATATCTGGTCACTGTGGTACACACAGTGTAAACCAATCCCCAACTGACAAGCCATTCTACCTCTGTACTTCCTGTTTGCTTCTCCCTTATAAGACCTAGACCACCAGCAACCAGGGCCTGAAATTCTAGGAATGATTTAAATCAGTGCCCATTATCATAAATAAATCTGTCTCCAAATCTTGGGTGTTGTTTTGGTGTTTCTGCTTGCTGTTGAATCTGGAGCACTGGCCTGGAAAACTAACCATGCTGACCTTTCTGGTCACCAGGCATGGCCCTCATAGATAGAGCAAGGTATTGATGGAAAGATATACCCTTGAGATTTCTTCAGTCCCCTTAGAGTCTAGTTGAGAATTTCTAACTCCCTGAGCAACTCACATCAGACCCCAAAGGGAAGAGGATGCAAACTCTGTCTGTCTGTCTGTCTGCCTGCCTGCCTGATTCTGGTAAGACCCTGAGACCACTGCAATTGGTCAGTCTGTCAGTTCTGCTCACTTTGAGCAGAAGAGCTTGATCAACTCTTGTTAGTTAAGGCCACTCTCAAGGGAAGAGGGCTTGGAATGTTTAAACTCTGAGTGCCTGGTGAATGAGTGCATGAGTGAATGAAATGAACAGTGTGAACAATAGGCTGTTCTGTCTGTGCATCAAGACTGGAAAGCACTGGTTGTGGTGTTAATTGGGCCCTTGCCTGTAAATCTGTGACAGTTGACATATGGCATAACAGAGGCCTCACACTCTCTTTAGCTAAATCATGCATAAATACCCATAAACCAAGGTGGGCATCTGAATGGTCTCTTTCTGAGGGGCATCCACCCTTTTTCTGTTGTACACACAATACATAATCAGAGATGGGAATTAATCAAAACTCATAGTCCTTGACTGCAAGAAAAAGGGATTTTATGGAATTAAAAATGAAACCAAACCACTCCTTGTGTCTCAAAGAAAAAGAAAAAACAAAGGCCCATTCTTCCTGAGAATTCCACCTTGGCACCTTGTCAGCCACCACAGTTGCTACCAATATCTATAGCTTTACTCCTTCTCCCAACTAGTTTAGTTCTGGTCAGTTGAACTGGGACCAGTGAGCCATTGCCTGCATTCAGCCACAGGGGCCCTCCCTCCAGAGCCTCCTGCTTACATGCCTATCCTGATCAGATGGCATCATCTAGCACCCACTGTCAGCAATTCCTTTGAGTTCCACATTTTGATGAGGAAAATTGGACTTTCAGCCCTGATGAATGAGTTTTCATGGCCTTTTCAAAAATCACCTTGTCTAGAAACAACCCAGACAAGGGCTTCTAAAAGACATCAAAAGGGGGGGGGGCAAGAAACCCATTAACTACTGTTACCTAGAAACTTGATTTAAAAAAAAAAGACAGCTGATGTCTATAAGAAAATCCAATCTGATAGACAACCATACCTTCTGGCTATGAGTTTTAAGGGTAATGGACACTAAAAAATAAATAAAAATAACTCTCAAAACCTTCAGCCTGGATCAGATGACAACTCTTTCATTGGTCTGACAACTCACTAGGCTGGACTGGGCTCCCTTCTTCAGCTGGGCCACCAGGAGCCTATAGTACCATCATTTGGACAACTGGGACTCTTGCCTCTCACCCCTTCTGCAAGATACAAATTCACCAAATATACCAAATATAAATTCCTGTGTAAGCCAGTCCTCATACTGATTCTTGGAAGAGACCTGTCCTTCAAGTTGAAGTGACCATCTCCTTTGCACCAAGTCAGTCAATCTCCCTCTCATTTAACCCTGCACTTTCAACTCTGACTATTCCCTGAGAGGAAGACAATGCCTGAGAGAGATAACTGCAATCATAGAGTTCTAAAAACTCTCCTCCCAGAGGTATAAATAAAGACTCACCTTTGGGCCTGGCTTACCTCACCATGACCCTGGTGTCAGATATTGTGGGAAGCATAAACAGGCATCCAAACATACACCAGCCTGATAGTCTATTAATCACATTGGGCAAGACCTTTACACCATCAACAACAGCAACAAGGATTTGGAAACTCTCCTACTATTTTCAGGGAGTCTCTGATAATATGTTTGGCTGCTCTGAGACAGCTTGTTTCTCTGTCCTTTCAGTTTCACAATTCTGTCACTGTCCTTTGTGCTCTGACATTTTGCCACTGACCACCTGCCTCTGATTGTAAAATTCCATCCCAGGACAACCCCCAACTGCATCAAATCCCATCTTGTGGTTTTCCATGTCACAAGAGATTTGACTAGAAATTCAACCACACATTCAGAGGTTTCAAAACTGCAAAATGTTAATTGATTGTCAAACTGCTGAAATACAACTCTCCTGCCTGTAAAGCCAATTCAAGATCTCCAAGCCACCAATGCCACTGTACTTGCCCTCCATATACATTGCCTCAGTCTTTGTCACCCACAGCCTGCTGGTGCACCTGCCTAGGCTGAAAGAATGCCTCTTCTGCCTTTGGTCCTGTTGTCCAGTCCCTTTTCACAAATAGTCCAGTTCTGGACTCAAAAATTAACTTACCAGGACTCAACCTCCCAAAAGTTCAAAGTTCATTTCCTCTTCACTGCACTTCTGATTAATGACACCCTAGATAACCTGCTGGAAAGGCACAAAAACTCTTCTACAATATCTGACAGAAACTAGTAACAAGAAAAAATCTCCACAAATTTCTTGGAGCTGCTGGCTTCTACAAAATCTGAATCCTTGAGTTCATACAAGCAATGATACTCATTCAGACTGTCAACCCCTGGGAGTTCCCAGTAGCCTACTGGTGATTCAGTCACTAAAGGCTGCCTCCTCATTTTGCCTCCAGGCTCTAATAATCACTGTGCTTCTGATCAGAAAGCTGACAAGCTCACTGGGATGAATTGTTCTTAAAAATGGACCCCCTGACAGATGCTCAGTATACCCTGTTTACAGATGGAAGCAGCTCTGTTAGGAATAAAGTCTGACAGATTGTATATGCTGTGGTCACCTTGGAAAAGACTATTTTATCCAAAACTCTCTTGCAGAGATGATCTGCAAATCAAGCTACTTCTTGCTGCTGTTTGGAAACCTGCCACCAACAATACAAAATGATCTCATCAAGAGACCTAAGTCTCCTCCAAGGATCCAATTGACTGAACCAGTAAAACTTTACCCAGTATTCCCAGAAGATCAGAACCATACCTGTACCCACTATTTGTTCTACAAGCTCAAACTACAGCATTGATATCCAGATCCCTGCAGCCAGATAAGACTTCAGCATCTGTGTCACCAGCCCTAACCCCATGTATTATAGTGGACTCTCCCCATTTAAAAATATATAGATGAAAACAGCTTGTAACTCACACACATATAACCCAGAAGCATATTAACTACCCCTACAAATCTTAGAAATTCAGCCTTAGATCCACTGAAAATTTACCTGGACCAGACAACTGACTCTGGATAGACACTACATTCAAAGCCTGGCTCTGGTCACTCTGGATGCTGACCAGCCCATGCATGGCTGGAGCCTGAGGACACAGTTCACAGGATTGCTCCATACTCATTCCTTTGATTTTTGTATCTTTTCAAGCTGTTTACCTGTCCTTGCTTCCCTGTTCTGTTGTTAGCTGTGATTTTGCCTTAAACTTTATAGATAATTGCCCCAAGAGAATAGAAAAATCAATCAAACACTTGGCCAAGATTTGATGAGCATCCAAGGCACATTGGATACTCTCCTATATCAGATTAACTCTTTCACTACCTTGCCAGAGTAATGTTACAGAATAGACAGGCCTAAATTATGTCCCTTCCTAAAAGCAATTTAGAGAAAAACTCTATAATAAGACAACCACAGCAACCTTTGCTAGGGCCCATCCTAAGATCATTTACAACACTAACATTACTGCTTCCCATTGAGCCTTGTCTCAAAAGATCACATGTGATGTGTCCAGCAAAGATTTTCCAGAGAAACTAAAAGAAGGGGGAAATTAATAGAAAATGCCCTCTTCACCCCCACCACCAGCTAATATATTTCAGTTTCTTAGTTGCCCAGGTATCAGTGCCTGTTGCAGATCCAGTTGCTTTTGTCTCCTAGAAATGACTGATTACTGTGATGCATAGTCACTATGATGCATATTGTAAGAATCAATCCCCAATTGACAAGCCATTCTGCCTGCCTCTGTACTTCCTCCTTGATTATCCCATATAAGCCCTAGACCACCAAAGATTAGGACCTGATATTCTGGGAATGATCCCAATCAGTGCCTGTCAACATAAATAAATCTGCCTCCAAATCCTTGGTGTCATTTCAGTGTTACTGCTTGCCATTGCAATATAATCACTAGATTATAACATCATAAATATTAAATAGTAATACATAATGTAAAGCAATATCTCAAAAGCTACTCAAAGCCTGGCATGGTGACACACACCTGTAATTCCAGCACTTGGAGGCTGTGGCAGGAGGATCACTGCAAATTCAAAATCAGCCTGGACTACAAAGTGAATTCAAGGCCAGCCTAAACTGCAGAGTGAAACCCTATCTCAAAAACACAAAAAAGAAAGCTGTTCAAAGAGATACATTCGGGGCTGGGGATTTAGCACAGCGGCATAAAGAGCCTGCCTTGCAAGCAGGTAGTCATGAGTTCAATCCCTGGTACCGATAAAAAGGAAAAAGACAAAAAAAAAAAAAAATTAAGAGTTACATTCAAAAAATATAAAGTCACGCGCAATGGCACAGTCCTGTAATTTGAGCCCTCAGGAGGCTGGGGCAGGATTGGCAATGCAAGATCAGTCTGGACTACCCAGTGAGTTCAAGATTGCTCTGAACTATGTAGTGAAATCCTTCTCAAAAACCAATATCAAAAAACAACCAAACAAATTACAGATAAATCAGAACAGAAGTATAAGAAATGTTCATATTACCCACAGAAAGGGAGAAGAAAAGAAAGAGAATCAAATAAAAACAGGAGGCAAAAGGAAACAAGCAAGCAAAATTTTTAAAAAGCAGGCTTAAACCCTAAAATAACAATAATTTATGTTAAATGTAAGTGATCTAAAGAAAACAAGACATGGATCCAGGAATATAGTGGCATAAGTGCCTGGATGACAAGCACAAGGTCCTAAGCACCACAAAACAAAACAAAAAGAAAAGAAAAGAAGACTGAAAAAAGAAGAAAAGACAAGACAGGGATTGGCAGAACCAATTTTAAAATATTACCCAATACACAGCAACAAAAATACTCATTTTGAATGTGATAGGTTGAAACAAAAGGATGGAAGATCTGTCATGCAACAATTAAAATAAAGGAAAGTAGCTATACTAATATTTTTTAAAAAGCAGATTTCAGAGGAAAGGAAGCTCCTAGAGAGAGGGGGGCATTCTGTAATGGTTCAAAAGTCAGTATACTGGGATTGAGAAAAAGATGGCGGATAGATAACAGCAGCTACAGAAGCTCTCTGAGAGAGTCAACTTGGATTCCAAAAATAATACAGCATGGGGAGTCCCAAACAGAGGGAGATACACCCTGCCAACCCAGGAACAAACTAAGCTGAGAGAAGCCAATTAAAAAGTACTGTCCCGTGCTGCGATAGTGCTGCGGCTTGAACTCGCAGCTTGAATACCCTGCCGCTGCTGCACCTCAATTGGCGCAGCTGGGATAGCAGGTGCAGCAGGATAGCACGCTATGTAGCAAAAACAATTTTGAAAAAGGATCAGAGGGAGGAATCAGTCTATATGATTTCAAGACCTCACACAGCTGGAGTAGTGGAGAATGAAGAGACACATCCATGGAACCAGCTGGAAAACCCACATGAATGCAGTCAACTGATTCTGACAAAACTGCAGCAAGTGACCTTTTCAGTAAATGGTCCTGGAACAACTGGATATCCACAAAGCAAGATAAAAATGAAATTTGACTTAGGCCCTAAAAATTAACTCAGCATGAATCATGAACTTCCCTGTGCAACATAAGACTATAAAACACTCAGAAAAAAATGGGTATTCTTAAGGACCTAAGTCCACAGGCTTAATACCAAAAGCATGATTCAGAGAAGGAAAAATCAAGAAAATGGACTTCATCAAAATGAAAATGTTGCTCTGTAAAAGATACTTTGAGAATATAAACAGGCAAACTATAAGTAAGAAATTCTTGCAAACCACACAAAATACTAGTATCTGGATTAAATAACTCTCAAAATTCAACAGTTAAAAAATTTGTTTAGAAAATAGGTGATATAGATGGCACACAACCACATGAAAAAAGATTCAAAATCATTAGCCACAGGAGAAATGCAAAGCAAATACACAGTGAGCTGTCACCGCACAGCCATCAGAATGGCTAACATAAAAACTAGCAAGAACAGCTAATGTCAAGGAGGATGCAGGCAAATTTGATCCCATATATTACAGGGAGGATACAGGGAAATATGGATCCCATATATTACTGGTAGAAACTTAAAATGAGGCAACCCCACTGGAAAACAATTTGGCAGGTTCTTTAAAAACTTAATTATGGGGCTGGGGATTTAGCTCAGCGGCATAAGCGCCTGCCTTGGAAGCAGGCAGTCGTGAGCTCGATCCCTGGTCCCGGTAAAAATGAAAAAAACCAAAAAAAAAAAAAAAAAACTTAATTATGGAACTACCAGATGATCCAGCACTAGCTCTCCTAGAAATTAATCCAAATGAAAAGAAGATTTAAATTCATATGAAAACCTGTATGCAAATGTTTATGCAACCGTATAATAAGAACCATAAACTGGAAATGGCCCACATGTCCTTCAATGGGTGCATCATTAAACTGCAGTGTATCCATGCCCTGGCTGATCCCAGAAATAAGGAATGATCCATGATATACAGAACAACCAGATGAATTCTGCACAAGGAGTTAATGTTGATTAAGGAAAAGCTAATTTCAAAAGATTATCTACTGTTTGATTTCATTTATATGACATTCTTGAAATAATATTATATAATATGGGTAACAGGTTAATGTTAACATGGATGAAGATAGGGTTGGACAAGGAAGGAAGTAGACAGTATCAAAGGATAACATTCTGGGAGTGGTGGTGCACACCTGTAATCTCAGCACTCAGGAGTCTGATGCAGAAGGGTTGCCATGGATTGAAGGCCAGTCTGGTCTATGCAGCAGGACCCTATCTCAAAAAAAAAACTAAGAATTAATTAAAATAAAAAGTAAAACATGAGGGCATCATTTTGTATATTGCCCATATCAGTTTAGCCTCGCTGGCTATAGTTTTGCAAAATGTTACGTTGCTAGGAATCTAGGTAGGGGTCAATGGGATCTGTCTCTACTATGTCTTTCAAAGGCATGTACATCTATAATTACCTTGAAATTTTAAAAGTTTAGTTAAAAATACAGTTCAGATTCGGTGACTAAAAACTAGAATTCTAAAGAAAAAGTGAGAGACTTTAGTGGCTAAACTGAGTGATTTACAAAATTTCCCTTTACTAAGGTGGGACTCGCTGATCTTTTTGTTGGTTATAGACAAAAATTGTTTAGCATAATCATTTAATGAGTCTACCTTAAACAGGGAAGAGATTTAGGGCAAAGTAGTGTTTTAGAGAACCTGTAGTTCCACTATATAGACAGGTAAAGTGCCGAAGCTGGGAACGGCCTTTATATCAGGAAAGCTGTGGTCAGGGCACCTATCCAGGTAAACATGTCCTCTCGGCACTTGGAAATACAAGACTTGGACAGCTTTGCGTGTAGGGATGAGGTGCAGACCTAGATCTTCAAATGGAAATGATGATGATAAAAGTCTTAAGGACAGCGATCTCATCAAAAGCAAAACATGTCCAGTTTGTGCTATTACAATAGATATCTCACAGTATAAAGTAGGCATATGCTGGATTAAAACTCATATTTTTCATTTCTTTTCTAGAATAAAGCAAGCTTCTTGCATAAACATAAAGAGATACAGCCCATCTTGGACAGCACCAAGAAATCCTCTTTTCATAGCTCCCAAAAGTCTTATGCCAAATACCTCAACCTTGCTCCAGTGTGCACCCCAGAAGCCACTAGGAAGATTTTCAGCCTTCAAAGGCCACAAGAGGAAAAAGGGCTCTCAAGCCCAGGCCACAAAGACGGAAGACACAGAGTCTCTCAGCAGCAAATGGGAATCTGCTTCCCCAAGTTTTGAAATGAATGCCAGTATTCTACAAGACAAGAGTCTTCCTGCTAAAGAATCCAACCTGCAGGAACCTAAGCAGATAGATCCTCATCTAACTAAAAATAAGAGTGAGCAACCAAATAAGAATGATGGTCTCCAAAGAGATGACTAGCTTGGCTGTGCGCTGCTCTGAAGACTGAGAAATGGGTCTGCTGGCACAGTTAAAAAGAAAAGTCCCCCTTTCCTGTCTCTCCCTCTTCAGACACACGCAGATACTAAACTTCAGATTCCAGATATCCCAGCACATTTAGTGGAAACATCTTTCTGAAATTTAAAAGGAACCCAGAAAAAATATAAAACACTTTGATATATTTAATTTTGTCAACATGGAAAAAACTAGACATTTGATTTTTTCAAAAATTACTTAAGCAAACAACACCAAAAAAACTATGAGCTGAAGGAAAGGACACATACACCACTCATTTTAAGCACCTAAGTGCTTCAATGAATTAATAAACAAATACCATTCCCCGAGTTTCTGCTTTATGATTGGTGTGCCGGGAACCACCAATGATGTCAGAGACATTTCTTCCCACTAGAAGAACATCATATAAAGTCATGTAAAGCACACATGACTAAAATGATTATAGAAATGATACCATGCAGAGTAAAATACTAAGTTGTACACCTCCAACCAATAAAGAATAATCATACATTAACAAGTGCTAATTGCATAGACCACAGCCTGGCACAAAATGGCATTGAAATTCATAGATTATGGCATGAAAGTCACTTTGCCTCTCAAAATGAAATAGGTATAAAAGGTGAAATGTAGTTTCTCTCAGAGCTGGCAAGTGGACATTGCCAGATATTTAACCTTGTGGACGCTGATCAAGTCCAGCAGCACTGCACATTGCATTCTGTAGGCAGTTGGGGGTGGAACGTGCACAAAAACAGGTCTGCCAGCAGGTAAGTGGGGATGGGTGTAGTGAGAGAGAAAACAGAGTCCTCCAGTACGGGCCAACCACAGCATCCAGCGCAGGTTACAGCTATCCAGAATAAGGGCCAGGCTCCTGAGGGACAATCAAGGTGCAGCTATGATGCTGATCAGGGCAGGGTGGGACAGGAGAGTCTGAGGGGGTCACGTGTCAGCAGAATGTCCAGAAGCCAAAGAGGGGTCAGGACAGCATGTTTCTTTGTAAAAGGGATAAAGATTGTGTTTTAAAGAATCTTAGCCAATAGATTTCCTCAAGAATTTTTAATGCCTCGTAAGAAACAGCCATCTTCTAAATAAAATAGATTATGCTTCAGAGCTAAATATCCTGTCCCTACAGGAGTCTCCAACTTTTTGGCACAAGTGGAGCAGAGACATAGGTCTGATCCCTCTTGGGACGCCCTCTGCCAAAGGTGCTCAGATAAAGAGGTAGGAGACTGTTCTGGGCCATAGTATTATGTTAGCTGATACTGTGATGGAGTAAAAGTTCCATCCTTATTCTTAGAGATTAGGGGTAAAATCCTAAATTGTAGGAAAACCTTGATTTTTAATTCAGTGAAATATCACTTAATCTTCAGTTGCCAAAGAGTTTGAGGCTGTAAATTAACAAGTTGAACATCTTTGCACACAATGAAACAAAAATAAACCAGCTTTCTAGAAGGCTGAGGTGTACAGAGACATTTCCTAAGCAGTTTTATCTTGGTCTTTGCTCATAATTACTCCCTTTATACCTTATTTGATGCAAATACTTGCTACAGTGCTTTACCTAGAGAAGGAAAGTATGTAGGCCACTTTCCCATTCTGCATTTCATGTTATACTTAACTGTTAGTGTTCTGAGAGTGCCACTCTCACAGGTCCATTCATTCTCTCTGCCTTTGGCATCTGCCCCACCTAGCGGATTCTCTGCAAGCCTCTCCTCTGAGATGAACCACAAGTAACACCCTCACTGGGAAATCTGTCGACTCCCCTAAGGAATTTAATAGAACTCTGATTACTATGCTGAGAGTCCTAATGAGATCAAGTAGACAGCATGCAAGTAAAGGTGGGTAATGTAAACAGAGAGATCAAACTCAAGAAACAAAAGGAGACATTAGAAGTTAAAAAAACACTGTCATGAAATGAATGATGAACTCATCAATAGATTGGACACAAATGATGAAATAACAATCTTAAGAAAGTATCAGTAGTAACTGGAAAACTTAAATTCAAAGAGAAAAAAGAATGAAAAATAATTCTCCTTCACAGAAAGAGTTTGAGGCTGGCCTGGGCTACACTGTAGCAGAAAATGCTCCCCCACCCCACCCCACAGTCTGTTAGTTGCCCAGGTAACAGCTTCTGTTACAAGTTCCTGTACTTTTGTCTCCTAGAAATGGCTGGTCACTGTGATGTATCACTATGATGCATCTTATAAGAACCAATCAATAATTGTCAAATACTCTGCTTCTGTACTTCCTGCTTGCTTATCACATATAAGTCCCAAACTACTAGGGATCAGAGCCTGATATTTTGGGAATGATCCCTATTGGTGCCTGTTGACAAAAATCTGTCTCCAAATCCTAGGTATTGTTTCAGTGTTTCTGCTTGTTGTTGTCAAATAACAAGGTACTGCTCCTAAAAAATGTAATTAATCATTTGGGACTAGGGATGTATCTCAATGATAGAGTACTTGTCTAGCACGGGAAAGACTCTGGATTCAACCCCGCATACAAACATAACTATAATAATAAAAACTAAACCTGGGGAGCTGGGGATTTAGCTCAGCGGCATAAGCGCCTGCCTTGCAAGCAGGCAGTCGCGAGTTCAATCCCCGGTACCGATAAAAAAGAAAAAGACAAAAAAAAAAAAAATTAAAAAAACAAAAAACTAAACCTGTGAGATAGTTATAAAAGGTGAAACATGTACAATGAGTTTACCAAAAATTAAATAATTTTAAGTTAAAACTGAAAATTTTCCAAAGTTAGTGACACTAAACCATGGATCCAGA